TATCTTATTAGATAATGTCCGAACTAATCTAATATAATTATTTTATTGTTAACTGCAAATAATATGATATATATATAATATATTGTGGGTGTATTGTTTACTGTGAAAATTATGACTGGCCATATGTACAATTTTGTACTCAACTGGTCAGTAAAGAATTTGAATTTGACCGTAACTGCAATCCAGAGTTTCCTAAAAGGGTCTTAACTGGTGACAAATCATGGGTATTTGGTCGAGACATCAAAACCAAAGTCCAACCATCCCAATGAAAGCACCCAGGAGAGACAAGACCAAAAAAAGCACGCCAAGTTCGATCAAATGTCAAGGTTTTGCTCTCTGTTTTCTTCGATTACTGTGGCATAGTGCATCAGAAGTTTTTGCGACATAATCGTACAGTCAATAAGGAATATTATCTTGGAGCTTCTTTTCACGAATGCACCTGCTTGATGGTCATTGCTTATTTGCGTTTCTTTGGCCAAAAACAATACCGATATTGCCTCCGCCACCATATTTACCAGATTTGGCCCCCTGCGACTTTTACTTCTCCCAAGATTGAAGAGACCCATGAAAGGACTGAGATAAAGGGGACAAAATAGAAATTAATGAATAAATACATTTTTCTCGAGGAATATGAAAATTCACCTTATTTTTTTAACCAACCTCTTATTAACTTTACCTATCACATTCTATTCGACAAATATTAGTTTATTCAAGGAGAAATTAAAAAAAAACTCTTCAAATGTAAGGGGAGGAAGTGTTTGATAATACTATCAATTCATTAATTTTCTGATTTCAAATTCAACTATTCATATGGAAAACTACATTGAGAGCTGAATTTTCAATAGAAATCTACCAGCACTAAATATTCTCTCTCTCTCTCTCTCTTATGCAACTTTCTCGTAACTTTAACTTATAGAATCCTAATTTTCTATTATCTTAGAAAATAAAAATTTCTTACCTGCAAAAATAATGAGGGATATCATCGGACACACAATTACAGCAACAAACAATGCTGCCAACGGTTGAAGGCATCCTTGTATACCGATATTCCACAAAAAAGCTTCACAAATCACCAGAAATCTGTTTCTTCTTTGGTCAGGACTATCTAAATCGTAAATGAGTAAGTTCGTTATTTGAACAGCAAAAGTCAACAAAGGCATCCACATAACTGTTGTAGCGGCAATGAACAAACTGAATAAAATTACTAAAAAACAAGCAATTGGAAAAACAATTACTAGAAAAGATGTCCCAAATAAACCCTTCACGAAGTAATTCCAAATGCGATTGATGTGTCTCGTAAATCCTTTTCCGATGAAACCGGTATCTGGTTTGGTCTCAAAGTGTGTTCTAGACTTGGAAATATGTCTCCAAAGACTCAATAATCGGGACATCAAAGTCGGAGTCAGACTACTCTTTCTAGGAAATAGAGTACCGTTGACTTGTGACAGCTCCAAATCTGGCATGAACGGTTCCAGACAAAATAATGCTCGAAGTCCGATAGGGCTACACCAAGGAAGGACAATGCCGAAAAAAAACATTGCATTCCACGTCCAACACCATGTTCTATGAAAATAATTGAAAATTCTCCACAAAGGCCAACGGGTTGTTGTTGTTCTAACCACTTCTTTTTCCACCAGAAATACCTGAAAACAAACCAATAAAGTTTTTTTTTTTTAATTAAAAATATAACAACAGCGTATAGTTCAACACAGTTAAGACACTATAAATATAAAATATCGTCGGCTTACTTTCAAAACCTCCTAAGTCTGATTTTTGGTGTTTACAAGGTTTTGATACAAATATATTTAAAATATCATTGTTTACCATCCTGCAAAAGCTCCTAAGTCCTGAGTGATGATAGCGACATCTATTGGACGATAGTGAAACCTTCTATGTCGTTGCGTTACAATGTCATGCGTCAAAAGCTTCTAAGTCTGCGTTTTGAATTCGGCCATCGTTGTTCAAGAAAGTGCCCGCGATTTTCAACCGAATAGTGTCTTAAATTCTACTAAATAATAAAGAAAGTGAGTTTTCATTGATATATAAGGTGAGTAATGCATAATTAACTTTTATATGTTGATCATTAGATTTTGAGTTGCTGAATTTGACCAGGTTTGTTGGAAACCGACTTNATTTGAAAAATCAAAGTTGCTACTGCTTTCTAATAGAAGCGGCAACACCGCATTGTCGAAAATATTTTAGTTGGCTAGAGAATGTCCGAATATGCCCTCCATTAAATTTTCAAAGTGATCCGTTGTCTGGTTCACCAGAAACGTCTAATGTGCCATCCACCGTGAATCAGCCTGTAGAGCTCCTAACATTGGTACAATTTTATCATTAATATGTTCTATGTATCCTGACCAGTTTGACTTATCAAATACTTGGTTTTTGTAACATTCATTGAGGGTGAGTTATTTATTCTCATTTCAATATTTCCACAAATTCTATTTTTTTTTTGTTTAAATAGCATGTAAACGGTTTTAGCGGGGTTCACCTGCAAATGAGAGAACAAGTTTTTCCCCTTATGCAACATAGTTTGTTCAGAAGAACAGTATGGTCAACAACATCAAACGCCTTTCTTAAATCAATGAACACTGCAATAACCATTCTTTTATTATCTGTAAACACAATTCTTGAACTTCTGCTTACTGGCTGAGTAGGATCCGATCTGGGAGTGGTGATACTAGTCACTTGCTTGCTCAATACCGTTGGAACTACTTCGGATTGTCCTTGGAAATTCCTTCTGATAACCCAATTCTGAGGGAGCCATATTTGTGTGGGCCACAAAAAGCTTCTTGTTGGAATTTTATCCTTTCTTAGTTCTCTCAGTAATGCTGGTTCCCTTTCTTTCATGAAGGAGAGATCCCTATGGAGAATAAAATTATTTCTTGAAATAATTTGATAATGTATCATGTGTAGGGTATGAAACTAAAATATCGAGTTGAATCAAGTCAAATCTAATCACTTCATTTTTCGTGGACAGCAAGAGACGGAAATGGAAAATAGCTGGTATTGTTTGTGGCAAAGTTACCGGTTTTTGGGTACAATTGAATCAACTCTAGTATTTTTGGTTCTGGAAATATGAGATCTGTTCAAAAAATCAAGTGAATTTTCATTTCGCTCAATTTTTTTTTTATTTATTCATAAAATTCTAGTTTGTTCCCTTCAAAGTAGTCTCCTCAGATATTATACACTTTCCATTCAATTTTAATATTAACACTCAAACTGAACGTTTTATCTTCTTGTTTGTTCTTTTAAACGGTTAGAACGCCTTAGTGCAGGTATTTGTCCTTCCCTTTCATCCGGATGTCTCTTTAAATTTGCCTGTACTTGTGTTGGTGCTTGATGTAACCCAAGTACAGGCAAATTTAAAGAGACATCCGGATGAAAGGAGAGGACAAATACCTATACTAAGGCGTTGTAACCGTATAAAAAACAAACAAGAAGATAAAACGTTCAGTTTGAGTAGAGCCATGAAGACGATAGCACAGCCTGCTATCAAAAGCGCTCGAATATAATAATTAGAAGTTATCAAAGCTTCAAATCTTTTTTGTGAACAATTGTTGATATTAAAATACTGCAAATAAAGGAAAACTAGTTGCATCAATCAAAACTTTCCATTTAAATATTTCTCGAGTTTGAATATGTGTACATTTATTTTTCGCATTCATATTTAAGATATCTCACCTATTCAGAAAATAAATGGTCTGTAGCAAGCGTTGTGCATTACATAATACAAGAGCTTCTTCATGGGCGCTCCACTGATTCTCCTGACTGAATCTTTGTTCTGCTGCCCTCAATCTTGATCTCAACCACGGGCCGATTCTGGACATTACTGGGTGAAAGTTACACAGTCTGGATTTAACCTCTTCCTGAGATTTTTGCAATCGATGTTGTACGTTTTCAACAGCTCTAAAAAATACAAGTAAAATTTTTGCAGTCTATTGTAAACACTTATTATTAAAAAAGTTATTGTGAATCTAATTACCTATGCATTAAAACTACACTCTGAGCTTGCTGCACTAGCAACTGGGCAATTCCTTCACCTAACGCCATGATATCAGGATGGGAAAGTATGCTGTTATAAACCCTCTGCAGATACTCTTTCATAACTGCATCATTAACCTCCTGAAAAATAATACTACAAAAAGAATCGAAGAACTAGGATTATGATCAAAGATAAAAACACATCAGATATAAAATTATTGTCAAAATAAACAAAAATAAAGATAATGATTTACATTTGTTTTTTATATTTATATATGTACGACTTTTTATATTTACTTATAATTATTGTTAATTCTACATGACAAGCTTATATCATGTTTTGATTCCTAGCCAATCATTTCTCTAATAACAAGAGTTTAAATGAAGAATGAGAACAGAACTTAGTCTTTTTGTTTTAGCTTACCTTTTCTATATCTTCATCCGGCATTTTTTGTGTCCGCAGTTCGGCAATCAGTCTTTCTCTAAAATGCAAGAACCAACCTCTAGTTTCCCTCTCCAATATCGAAACCAGAATGGGCATAGCCTTTCTCATCATTCCTCTATCCCATAACCTCAAATCTAACTCAGAACCTGAGGGCGTCAAAAATTTGTAGGGTAGAGAAACAGGAGGTTGGGAACATTCCCTTGCAACCTCGAATTTCTCGGTAGCTGCCCTTCTTAGCTGTTTACGAATGTAAGAACATAAAACTTCGAGAGATTCCTCATTCTCTGGCTACAACGTAAAATCGGAAAATAAAAGTACACGGTGATTTTGTAAAAGTAAATAATACTCACCCTACAAACTAACTCCGCAACAAGGTACTTATTCCTTTCCTCTCTGATTTTCGCATCTAAATTGTGAGCTTGTAAACTAGGTATTCCAATTAAAACATCTAAAATTCTCAGCAGCCCCGAAATGAAAGCTTCAGCAGCCTGCGAAACGCTGAAGAAATGTGAGACAAGTCTGCCTTTGGCTGTTACAACTATGAAACGTAATGCTAGAGCTAGATCGTTCAACAGTGAGTCATGGCTATTAATAGTTCCTTTTTGCAGCAGTTGCGATAGTTTCCAACGGTGTTGCTGTCCAGGAAAGTTCAATGATTCTACTTCGAAAATGCTGAAATTTCGGACAAACTTTTTTCAGTGTGCTACAGTGCGGCATTCAGTAAAACTTGCACAGATTTTCCATACACTTCTACAGTTAATTTTTGGAAGTTCACAGACAAAGCCGATAAAAATAAACAAGAGAAAACTCAAAAACACTCGAAAACCTCTCAAAGAAAATCTGAACAATGAATATCATTTAAACTAAATGTCATTTTTTTGATCTTTACTGTTCAGATTTTATCGAAATCGTTCAATGAAAGTAACAACACAAAAACCAAAATACAAAGCTATCTCAAATCATTCGAAAGCTGAAATAAATGGCAAAATAACACATAAAATAGTTTAATTTACTAATTGATTGAATTTGACAATCATTTTGTGAATGACTTCACAAAAACGTGTGATTCACAATATCAGAATTGGCAAGCTAAATTCAAAACAGAAAAAAATTGAGAACAAAATGCTGCAGAAAAGTAGATCCAGTTAGACAATTCACAATCAATCCACATACCCATGTAATCTAATACTTTCTAGTTGTTCCAGGTTCAATCTTTTGGGTTTTCCAAATTTGTCCTTGTGCAAGCTTTACAAATAAACATGTTTTATAATTTAACCTAGGTTAATTCTACATTTACAAAAATTTTCATATGAAACCAGAGTCCAAAAACAAAGCATTCGTTATTCAACCCCATTGAGCGATAGAGCTTTGTTTCAACCCACTAAGGTCTCATCAGTGATACTACGCCAAATCACTAATACAATGTTGAGACTCAATTCTGGAAGGATAAACCTGAGTAGTGAATACGCCATCTATTGGATCAACAAAAGAGTCAATGCATAAATATCAAAGATAAACAAGGCTGAAAAGTCAAGCTTTGACATCAACCAATATTGCTTAACGACAAAAGACGAACCTCTTTTTGGCAACTGAATGTCAAAGCTTGACATATGCAAATAACCGCTTTTGGGAGTCTCATGTATCTTTTGATACTTGTGAATTGAGTCTTCTGCCAATAACGTAGACCACGCCTTCATAAGGGGAGATGTATTCACCGATTAACAGTTTTTTAGTATTGCTGAAGTAAGAATTCCTTTCTTAGTCTTAATTTTTGAAATATGAGGTTTTCATTCTTTGAGAAGAAAATGTGGGTATATTTACCCTCTGTTTTTGGGGAGGTGTAAAAGGTATCAAGTCATCAAAAAATATTAATTCACTGAAAAAGAACACAAAGTAACTCTAATATGGTTCTGAAAATAATGATGATTTTACTCATGGAATATATACTGACTTGAAGTACATGTGTGTAAAACTTCAATTTCAATTCACCAATTTTTTTCTGTTCAAAAAATTATCAACAACCATATTTTAATTTCAGTATCAGAGGTTATAAAATGTTTATTATCATTATTGATACTCCATTACGGCCCCATGGACTGCGCACTTCATAAAAGTTCACGACTGTCTAAGACAGAAACCTAATCAAAATGAAAATTGATAAACAGATTTTCATGTCTTCTGATATGACAAAAAACACACATACCCCCTTTCTCTAATATATTCAAGTTGTTTCCCAGTCAATTTCCTTGGCTCTCCCTTTCCATCAACAGCAACAGCATCCAATTCATCGAAAGATGGAGCCAGAAATAAATCACGAAGATGATACTTAGTCTTACATCTGCCTAAGGATCCGTCAGATGAAAGTTGAGATGAAGAAAATAAATCGCAGTGTGAAACTGGACTAGGCAGAACTGCAAAAGAAAATGTATTTTTTGTCATTTCTAAAAGAATAAATAAAGAAAAATAAATAGATAAGTACTATTCTGATCATTATCATATTGATTTCAATTTAGAGCCACCGGTGTACAGCTGTTTCAGCCTGTTGGGCATCGTCAGTACGGGGCAGGCGATCCTCGATTGAAGACAAAATGTGAATAACCAAAAAAAAAAATACTTGATAAAAATAATTTTGCAAACACAAGCGAGACATAGTGGACGTGAACATGTGGCAGATTGTTGTTTTTCCATCGGGCATCTGCCACATGTACCTACAAATTCGTAGGTTCACATGAGAGGCAAGGGGTAAGGTGTTTTTCACCAGAACTTGGGCATGTCCTATGTTTATTATAAATATATCACTGAACTGATTGTTCCGTCCGAAAAACGTTTGCAGAAACCATATGTATTCCACCCCAAATTCGGCTGCCTCTGAAACTGGGATGGAGAAGTAAAGAAATCAAAGTATGTTTTATTTGCCGCTCTTATAGTCCGTAGCACAAAATAATGAAGGTACTAATTAGTTCTGCAGTTTGGTTTAGATAATGTAACTGTATTTCTAGTGAATCTAGGAAATCGGTAAAAGTGTACAGCTAATTTTATATGTACTCCTCTGAATTTCTGAATTTAAACACAACCAATCTCAGTAATTTTGTCTGAACTTGTTCTAACATATGGATGTGGCTTGCATATGAGTTCTTACTAGAGAGCAATACAGAATTTCCCGACATTTGGAGTCAGTAAAGCCTGAAGTGCATATTCTCAGAAAGTCAAGCATTTTGAGATACTTATCAACAGTGGCTAATATGTGGGGCTGAAAAGAAAGTGAGTTGTCCAGAAGTAAACCCAAGTCATTTTATTTTCGTAACATTATTGAGTGGGACTTGCTTCATAAAATAAGATGAATGCCACAGAAATTTGTTTGACATTGATGAAGAAAAATTTCATGGAGAGGTTAATTGAGTTTTCACAGCCTCAAGCACAGTGTTTTAAAAAAAATCTGATAAATAATGGTACTGAATCCGATGTTAACGCTCTTGAAAAATCCACTTTCATAAAACGTTTTCAAACAGTAAAAATTGGGATGCCTGATATAATGAAATAACCTTGGTTGATGCTTGACTTGAAACAAAAAGCAAAGTGACCACGCATTAGACACAAAAAGAATTTTCTTGAAGAAAAATTTCACATTCGGTAGCGCCCAGGCACAAAAGGGGAATACTTGAAAACCACCAAACATATTCAGACATAAATCAAAATATTGGGATGCATGTTTAGAATAGATATACCTACAATTTTTTGTTCATTTATCAAAAAGTCAAGTATAAATTCCTGGGACAACTGAATTCCCTTTTTTTTTCACAGAATATATTGAGGCACTAATACAAACCATGAAAAGGAGTCCTGCCATTATAAAAGGTATTTTCTTGTAAGTTTTTCATTTCTTAGAAAAGATGAGCTCAACAGTCTGACAAACACAATTTACCATATTCACAGAAAAAATGGTTGTACATATTTCAGACATTTCATAATTGACGACACACTGACTGAATTAAATGAAATAAAAAAAACTGTTTTGTAATAGTGAGCTTGGCTGAATTTTGACTTTTTCCAATTTATGAGACTTGAGCTTTTCTTTCTTCATTACAGTTGTTCCAAATAATACTTTATTGTGAAGATGTTAAGTGAAAATCTCATAATAAAGTGTAATTTGAATACATTATCATGGACTTTCATCAACAAGTAAGCTAACTCCATCACATATTTTCATGAGGTATTTGAAGTATTGTAAATCATAATCAAATCAGGTCATAAGTAGAAATATTAGATAACAATGCATTTCAACAAAACTTACATCTAGATGTATTGGTCTCTTTTTCAACTTCTCTCTCATTAACACCTGATTTTGAGCGATGATGTGCATGCTTCTGACGTCCATGGTAATCAGAATTCAAACTCTGTCCAGAATCTGACTTGTTCTGACTGAGACTACCAGAACTCTGTCTATGGTGACCACTTGACTCAGATCGTCTGTGCCCTGTTGAAAGTTTTGAGCCAGAGCCAGGTCTGGAACTCATTTTTTTACTTCAACAGGGATGGGAAAGATATTGATAACAGTCATTCTCTAAAAAAATAACGAAAAAGGTGTCAACTGAAGCAGATAATGGAATGAAGATATGAAAATAGACCATATTAACAAACTATCCAAAATTTCATTTAGAAGCTTTGAAAAAAAATTAATAGCATACTTGTTTCGTTTATTTAACTGTATTTTCGTAAAAAGAGCAATACTTAATGTTTTTTATAACCTACCAATGGTTTTGAGTAACCTACTTTCATATCAAAAAACATTTTTGAAGAGAATAATTGCATTGGTTGCAAAATTCATAAGAAAATATTTTTAACTCACACTTTAGACATCATTTTCCAATTAATCCAACTTCGGACCTCCTCCAAAATAGAATGGTTTTCCTTCAATCACAATTCCATACAAACAATAATGAAATTCATGGCAGAGGTATAAAACACTACCGAAAAATTACTGTTTCTAGTGGAATTATCACATTGCACTAGATAAACTTGACACTAAACAATTCCTTTTGCTTATATCTATTCTCATCAACACCATATTCAATCAAATGTCAGGAATTTGGAAATAAAATTCTAGCACAGAGTTAAAATTGTCGGACACTGTACACTGTACACTGACAGTAGTGACAATTCACATAAAAAAGTGACATGAGTAACATATGTCACTGTCAAATAGGGAATAGGGTTTTCCATTGGTAAAACGAGTTGTACCATCTTGTTGCACTTACTACACGAGTTCTGAAAAATTTCTATATTGGTGCAGTCCGTATGAAACATAAATTTCAGCACACGTCGCTCCACAACACTACTACTATAACAAAAAGTATCAAGATTTAATCTACTGGCTTACATAATACTATTTTTTTTATTATTTCAAAGTGAGTGCGAAGAGTGTTTGTTTTGGATAGAATAGTATTTTTGTTGTGAAGAACTCAATACTTCTCATTGTTTTTGGGAACATATTTTTCAGATTGTGGAACGTTATATACCTAATAAACAGTGAAAAGTATAATATAAATTCAGAACGCACAATAATTTGAGCTGCTTTTTATGCAGTTCACCGTTGTTGAAGAATAAATTATTGTGAGTACCTATCAGAATGCACAGAAAACCTAAATATTGATATATTTCACCACATTCCTACCAGAAGTGTCTAATATAAAACTGTTTCACCTATGATTTACTTCGCCCAACTAATTTCATGATTGAAACTCATTTTATCATGTGTTAAATGGTTTTATTTCTTCTTACGGATATTTCAACCACTATTTCAAATTCTTCATCGCTATTCGTTGAAGACGATTAAAATGTTTGATTCAACATTTGTATTTTCTCTTTGAGCGCCAAACAGCTCGTGCTGAAAAATGTTAGCTATGCAATTCCATGCTGCTAAATGGGTTGAGCATATATTTCATATTTTTTTTTAATTTATGACATAACAATTGACACATAATATTTAAAACGCTCTTTTTCATTGCATTCAGCGCAGCACTTTCCGTTTTATGTCCTGAACACAGCCCCTTGTCACTATTTATACCAAAGTAAGCTTAGAATAAGGAAATGTCCATGAAAATAAAAATTGTTTTTTGATAGCATTTGAGAATTATTATGGTGAACAAGTGTTGTATATACCAAATATATACATATATATTATTTGTATGTTTTCAACCAATGCGCTAAGCGCAGGATTACAACGTTTAAAAAAAATGAGCGGGAACTTTGGAAAGTTATGCCAGTTGGTAATTTGAAAAAAGAACACGAAAATGATAAACCTGTTTTTCCGTTAACCAGCTGTCGTACCCCTACGAACGACAATTCTCAAAAGTCGAAACTTGTGCGAGCCAAGGACTAACGAGGTCTTACCTTTTAAGGTGTGATTCCTAAAAGTAAACTTTATATCAAACGAATTTGACAAAAGAACAAATGAAAATATTATAATATCTAGGTGCACCTTCATCAACTCATCATTCAAATTGGAAATGAGATAATATCTTATTGTATAATTCTTGTAAATAAACCTAAAAGGACATTTGGTAAAGACAACATACATACCAATTAGATTAGATTGGAAATATTTGGAAGTTGATACTTTAGATGTTTTGCAGTTTGCACCACGTTTGCACCCTGTTATCATGAATGCATCTACTAAGTTTTTCAATATAGATTAAGAAGAATTAAACAAATTTTTCACTTTCCATGATTTAATGAGAAATGGAACCATGAATTTTCACTATTCATATTTATTTCTTGAGGATTTTAGACATCAAATATCTACTCAAGACACAATTTGCTATTGGCATATGCTTGTTATGGTTAGTAGGTTATATGTGGCACAAATATATATGTGTTCTCTGATATGTGGGACAAATTCAAATAAAGAGGTAAATAAAAAATAAGCAGGTGCTTCCAAATTTAATCAAAACACAATTGTCCTTGACAGTAAAATCTTTTTATTTTCCCAAGTGGCACGTGACTCAATAATCTTGAAATTATTGGCCCTCCATGAGCGTGCCCTGCGCGGATTTGTTGCGCAACAGTGATTACAAAATGCCGTCAGAGTCTAAACCTTTGTTGACAGCCCAAACAGAAAAGCCAAATCATTACTCGTAAGTGTATTTTTAGTGCGTGATTGTTACTGTGACGTATGCAGTAATTAATTTTGTGTATTTTCATGAGTTTTTGATGTTGAAATGTTGTGCTCTTTGTAGATATTTGAAAGAATTTCGCGTCGAGCAATGCCCGCTCTTCTTACAACACAAATGTACACAGCATCGACCATTCACCTGTTTTCATTGGCATTTTATGAATCAAAGGCGACGACGACCTGTACGTCGTAGAGATGGGACTTTTAACTACAGTCCCGATAATTATTGCACTAAATATGACGAGACTACAGGCATTTGTCCTGACGGAGATGAGTGAGTACACCTTTTTTGGTTAACTTTTACTGTCATTTTATTAACGGTGGGTGTGACAGCTCTGAGACGCAATTTATTTAGATGTTTTCTTTTATTGTTATATGTCACTTTCAATTGCTATGTTTTCAATAGTTTTATTTAGAATCCAGAATAAAAGTTCTATCCAAAAATAAAGGATTTGTTTTTCGCAATGTTATCAAAACGTCACTTTTTTCAACTGAGGATAACCCAACTTTCATATCTATCAAAACATTAAGATTAGACAACCTTAATTTTCTTTACGATTGCTTACTGAAGAAAACTAGTAAACAGATTTCTAAACTCTAGAGTGTACTTTATTTGACACCATTTTACATACTATAGTATATTTATGGCAAGTCAGGAATACAGAAATAAATAAAAAATAAAAGTAGAGAGTACGTCAATTAGAAGTGTAATAAAATCAATAAAACTAAGGATTTAATGAGGTCTTTCACAAGTTAAAGACCCTGCAACCTCAATATATTTCTCAATGTTATAAGAACAGTGTTGGAGAAGAAACTATTTAATGGTATATTTAAATTTTGCAAGGCTCAGTGCCTTCAGAGACAAGGGAAGATACGTATTCTAAAAACACTATATTGTGTGATTTTCACTAGATATCTAGTGAAAATCACACAATAAAGTGTTTTTAGAATACGTTAGTTATGGATTTTCATCAAGTATCGGCCGATTCCATCATATATAACAAGTGAAGATGATTATACAAATGTGAGTTCAGTGAATTTCTTCTATCATTTGTTAATTTATGTGTAGGCAGGTTCAATAATCTTTCATAGCTAGTTTCCATAACGTTCCATGCGTTTTCCATAACGTTTTCATAAATGTCTATTAAAACTTCGTAGACATGTAATGTTGGCAGTGGCATAATGCAAAGTTGAATAAAAAAGGGCAATAGTGCTCCTTGTAACGTGCTTTGGCCATTTTTTATGACCTTTTTCTGACACTCAAAAACACTAATGGAGTTACCTGAATGACCCCAAATCAGAATACCATAACTGAGCGAAATAATCCATAATAGGCTCCTTTGAGTGTCATCAAACTGACTCCATTTTTGAATCGTCTCAGAAAAAACAAAACAGTAGGAAGTTTTCTGGCTACAACTTTGATATAATCAGACCAGCTCAATAACGAATCCTGAAAAAATTATACTTTCACTTGGAGGAATATTTGGATTGGAAGGTACAATTATATTTTGAGTTTTATTTTTATTCATAGTCAGCTTATCAGCACCAAACCAATTATATGTTAATGTTTCGCTATCTTGCATCATTAGTTAGCTGGTTAAATCTTAGCTAGAACATGGTAAAGTCGTATCATCTGCAAACAAGGTGCATCGTGCTGGTTTTATAAAACTGCATAGAACACTGATATTGATCAAGAATAATAGTGAACCTGACACGGAGCCCTGAGGAACGCCATGCTTTATTTCTTTGGCTTTATGTTGTTCACTTCAACATATTGGTACATATTTGTGAGATAAGACTGCACTAATTTGAGAGCTATGCCCCAGACACCATAGTAATTCATTTTTTTAAATAAAATAGTATTCCTTTACATATGTCCAAAATAGTTTTATGGGATTTAATTCAAACTATAGGAAGGAAGTTGTTGTACTGTTATACCCTGCAATGCTGCAAAGTCATGGATTACATATTTGTTGAGCGTAAAGTATACCATTTTAAGAAATTTTATGCATATCTGGGAGTGAGACATTTTATGGTTAGAAACCTAACTCAAGTCTACAATGAAGCTCAAAGTTCATTTATTTCAACTTACTATAGTTTGGAAAAAAAATTAATTCATGTATGTGTATTTATGAATACAAGTTGAATTTTGTATTTTTTTTGATGTGTTTATGAATATTCATCTTACATGAGTCTATTATCTTTAAAGAATAGAAGAATTATTTTGGATGTATGTTCTTTAAGCAAAATTTTAACTGGCAACATCAACTGTGAGGAGATTTTATCTTTAATTAATTTGATTGTCAACAGAAAGACCAGAGTCAGTACTGAAACATTTAAAATACTGTTCCACTCCACACATTATGGTTTTTTTCTCTCCTCTCACTTGAATGCTCAGAAATGGGAATATGTATCAACAGGTTGATATCTTCAGCACCTCCACAAATATATTCAAAATTGAACTGAGTCGCATTATTTCCTGAAATATTTCCTTTGATTATTCTATACTATTTCATCATTATGTTGTTTTCTTTTTATACTATATATCATATTATTAATTCATCAATATAGGTGCCTTTGAGAGCGATATAACGATTAAAGCGATTATACAATTTTTCGATACCATTTTTTGGTACGATTTGTTTTTAGCCTCAAAATGGGCCTCAGTTTCGATGATTACCTCTTTATAGGCGGTAAATTTCTTTCCGGCGAGCATTTTCTTGAGGCCTGAGAACCTGAAAAGTCACTGGGGGCAATATCTGGAGGATATGGTTGATGCAAAAGCAATTCGAAGCCCAATTCATGCCATTTCGACATCGTTTAAATTGATTTGTGACAAATGGGGCCGGTTTTCCGCAATTTCGTCCTTTAAACGCTCCAGTAACACTATGTAAGAGTCGTATATGAATGAAATGAATAAATTGAAAGAGATTTTTGTTGAAGGTTTAGGTTTTTTGAAGTGGTAGCCATGACCTTTATTACTTTGTCAACTTATTTTCGATGCACAAAATGATGTCGCATGTGTTAGGATTCATTAATGTGTAAATGAAAAAAAAAACATTTAACCATATTCTGAAACAGCAATGAACATTTTCAAATTTTTATGCATTCAAATGTTTTTATGAACTTTCATATAATTATAAATAGTTTTTGCAATTCTAGATACGAATTTTGTTCTATCAAATTATAAAACAGAACCGTGCAAGAGACCACCAAGACTTTGTAGACAAGGATATGCATGTCCGCAGTATCACAATAGCAAAGACAAAAGAAGAAGTCCTCGGAAATTTAAATACAGGTGTGTACACACTTTTTTCACATACGATATCGTTAATTAGGTAAATAATATTTAAAAGGCTCTTTATGCTTTTCCAGCTGACCTCTAGAACCCATTTTGACGCCCAAACTCACATTTAAATCAAATACTGGTAATTTTCAACCAGGTTTTACAATTCATATTTGCAGTTCATAAAAATGATTTCGATTTTTTACAATGTTTTGTGGAATAGAACTGTTGTGAAAAAGTATATTCCAGTGGGTGTTTCTTGTTTTTGCTGATGGAATTAATAAATCACTTGATGTCTCACTATGATGATGTCTCACTATTGCAGAAGTATTTGTTGTGATTTTATGAATGTGTGTTTTGAATTACACTTTTTTTTTCAAGTCGTGAAAAATCTACAATATTTGTCTTGAAAAAATCAGTGTTACAGATATTATGCATAAATAGTGAATATTGCATTGCATTATTCAGTAAATAAGTGTCGTCAATAACTGATTCAAGAAATACTTTAATGTGATATTTTCACTAGAGAGTTATACAAGCACACAACACGTGTTTCGCTATATGATAGCTTCTTCAGGCGCTTCTATATTAACTAAAATCTAGATATTCAATACTCAATATATATTATTACAATTCAACGTAGCTGAATTTTAAGTACCTTAGTTTTAGCTACCCAATTAATATGTACCTGAGTGCAAAAATTTAACTTGAAAACAATGTGCAATATAAAGTACACAGACACTTGTCGTGGTACCTTCAAGGATAATAAAATGCTTACTGTATATGCTCTATATACATTTATGTTTGTACTTTTTGTACATAAGAGCAAGTAGAATTTTGAAGATGACAAATATAGACATGAGTAGTGCACCAGACCGAAATCCAATTATATTGTTCCTAAACATAGATTGAAAAATACAGAGCCGCATTAAGCATCAATTAAATTTCACAACCATTTACACTTGATTATCAAAGGAGATCGAACAAGAAAAACCTTTTAAAAACGTGTTTTCGGTCTGTTGTATGACATTGAGTCATATTCATTACGAAAATTCATGGACAATGAACCTTTTTCATTTTGTTTTAAATGTAAGCTCCTCTTTAATCTATATCTGTGATATATACTTAATTTTCTCTCTCATATTTATAGACTCATTGTATTTACCCATACCACTTGATTTTTTATTAATATTGAGAGACATTTGTGTTGTTAATGTAATCATGTTTCTGACTTGTTTTATCAATTGTATAAATTGAAAGCTTCAATAAATCTATCTATCTATCTAACATAAGAAAAGAAGAGAAAGTGTGCAAACTCATTTAAATAATATGTATCAGTTGATTACCAGTTTCCACATTTGAAAAAATATTCAGTAAATGTCGAATAGTTTTTGAGATATTTGCAAAAAACCAAAACCCATTTGACACCTCGTTCATATTTTTCAATCGGATCATTACTTATTACAAATTTTGAACTTTGCTTGATTGTTTAGTTTAAATTTTTTGTTTTAGATCAACCCCTTGTCCAAATGTGAAACACGGAGAAGAGTGGGGGGAGCCGGGTAACTGTGATTCAGGTGATCTATGTTCTTATTGTCATACTAGAACAGAGCAACAATTTCACCCAGAAATATATAAAAGTACAAAATGTAATGACGTGCAGCAATCCGGATATTGTCCTAGAGGGGTATTTTGTGCTTTTGCACACGTAGAACGTAAGAGCTATATTTGACCTCCGAAGATAATGCTTTTCAATATAATTATTTCCAGAAGAATTAGGCGTTTCAAGAGATACAGGAGAATGTGGCACAAATTTAGCAGAAATTCTATCAAATGTTCTTCCTCAAAGTAATTCAGATATTAAACTCAAAGAAAAAAGCAGTGATAGCTCTGTAAGTAACCATCATTTGATGATATATTTCATTCATTTGTGATATTTAGGTATATTTATTAAATTAAATCAAGTGACTTCAATCGAACAGTTACATCTTGTCCTAATATTCATTGATGAAATTCCTTTCAGAATGGTTGTAGTGAAGTTAGTGAATCATCATCAACTTCCTCAGAGTTAGGCAATTCCATTAGTAATTTAAATAGTAGTTTAATGAATATCACCTGCAATACTTCGACAAATACGAGCAAGGCGCCAGGATCCCAATTAACACATAAACCAATTCCTTTCCAGAGACGTTCTGCGATAGGTTTAGAATTGACTAATAAATTATTGGCGATTGATAAAGACCCCTCTTTAGGTGAGTTCATTATTAATCAATCTATGAAACGATCTAAATGAGTTTTTTTTTAGATTCGTTAGAGCGCGAACAAAGAAAACAGTCGTGCTTTGGTTACAGCGGTATCAGCGGATCCTTTTTTAGTACTGGAAATGATACAGTTGAAAGTGTAGTTGGTGAGCATTTTATTCAGTATGTCTTAGTAAATCTAAAGAAATGAACTTTAAACGTTCAAGCCAGTCTCGAATATACCTACACAGTAGGTTGAATGGACTGACGCCTATCAGAAAACAACTACTCTCCTGGCTAATACCACGAAGGGCGTTGGATTATATCCGACAGGCGTCAGTGCAGGAATCTTCACAGAACATTTCCTGCATATGCAATTGGCAATACAACTGAAAGAGTCGACCTTCAATGTTGAAATGGGCACACTTGCAGACCGGTTTCGGGCTCATTAACCACTCATCAGTACAAGATAGTGGCCATCATCGAGCCAAAGTCAATGAAATTCCATAATTGAAAATCGGAATTCTTTCAGAGTATTACATTCCTCTTCCTAAGTTGGAGCGAACAACAAAATGTCACTCCATCTAGTGGACGAGGTACTAACCAACTGCATATCCGTAATTTGCCTGATTCCTCTGAATAAGGAAGAAAAACTTTCTAATTAGTCAGTGGGCTGACGTTTAAAGTTCATTTCTTTAGATTTGTTTACTGCCAGTCTTCAAGCATAGCCCGCTGACTAATAAGAATGTCTTAGTAAGTTGGTAAGCATTTTATACAGTATGTCTGAATAAGTTGGAACAAAATAGAAAACTTTTAGGAAAAAAGTTGAACTTCTTCGAAAATTCTACAAGGACTAAAACCTGAAATGCAGCCATTGTTTAATAAACTTTTCCACTTGTATACGAGGTGTGTCAAAAAATGTTGATTTTACTCAAGAGTAAAGTACTTTTCTGACAGTATCAAAAATTGTTATTGAACAGAGTTCAGTATCAAACCTATTTTTTCTTCATAAATTGATTTTAATTTGGTCAATTTAACCCCTTTCAAGTTATATTCATTGTTTTTAGAGTTTTAAGACGAATAATTTCAAAATAATAATTTTCTAGAGAGTTCCTCAATTTTCAGCATTGAAAAAACAATGAGACATCTTTTTTTCTAGGAAATGCATTGGACGAGATAAGCCTAGAAGACTCTTTGAATCTTTCTGGTGCTCTCGACCGAGACCTGGATACTGATTCTCCGACTGTGTCAAACTCTATATCAGTAGGTCTCGCCTCTTCAGCAGGTTTATTAGGCAGTTCAGCCCCTGTAAACATTCCAAGTTCAGCCAGATCAGGTCTGAGCGGCTTCAGCCCCACTAGCAATAGTCCCTTGCAACCTTTCCTATCAGCGACAAGATTTTCTCAATCTGATATTGACTTTTTGAATCAGTCTCAGATGCATTTGAGCAGCAGCACTTCAAAAATCAACAGCTATGGGGGATTCTTCGATTTTCAGTCACAGAGCATTTCTCCAACTTCTAGGAATCACAATAGTTTCAGCATGTCTCCTAGTATTAGCAGCAATATTGAAGTTGTGAGGTAGGTGGTTTCTTATTTTTTCCTCAATCATTCTAACGAATCTTGGACTAATTTAAAGAATGTAACTTCTAAATCAATCCACAGAAACAATTCAAAGAAGATTATTGAAATGATTAGTAATAAAAGTTCAGTGAGCTATGAATAATTTGTAGTAATTTTTTTTTGCGATATATGCTTATATACTGGGTCAATCTAAATAGTCCCTCCCGTGCGTGCATCGTCCTGGGTACCCATTTCACATCGTTTGAACTCAACAATTCACTTTTCAACAGTAAATGTTCCTGGTGCAAAGTCCGAATAATGTTTATCAACCTAAGCCTTGGCTTCAACAATTTTTTTTTTCACCAGAAAACAATGATTCATTAACACACGAGATTCTTTTTTATCCATTTTCTTGAAACTAATGAAAGTTGCTTCACTCAAAATATTCTATCCCACAAACTAATGGTACGACTGCTGTTGAATTTGTACACCCATCTTTTGAAGGTTAGGGTTAACTAAAAATCATATGGATTTAATACTAGTAGCGCCATCTGTTTGTTAGCCTACGAACTTTTCAGTCCATTTAATAGACCTGGAACATGGACCTAAAACAGAGGTGTCAAACTCAATTTTGCAGAGGGCCATGTATTAAACTTAGAATATGTAGGCGGGCCAGCTTGAAATAAAACAATTTGTATTAAATTATTATAACATTTTATTTATTCAATTATATGGTATATAATATACGGTTGTTAAAAATTATCTCAAATTTTTGAAAGAGGGTTATTATAATGAGCTTCGATTACTCGACTCAACAGACTCACGTCGCGCCGACGCTCTCCTTTTATATCGATAAGGAAGGTT